CTCTCTCTCTCTTCGACGCTTCAGGTCCATCGATACGGATGCGAGCCGAGGAAATGAGTATTGTGGCTGATTTGCCGCTTTCCATTATCTCTCTCACTTTTTTGGTACTGTTTTCCTTCCATTTCTTCGAAGGTGAATCATCATTGCCAATAAACTGTTTCGCTATATCAATTCATTTCTTTCAATTCCCGAAAAATCAATATGTAGCACAACAACAAAAAAACCAGAGAGATGCAGAAAAAGAGAGAGAGAGAGAGAGAGAGAGAGAGAGAGAGAGAGAGAGAGGAGAGAAAGGAAAAGAAAAAAAACAGTTGGTCGGTGGCGATGTGCAACACACTCAATCATTCTGCTTTTCATTGGTTCAGAAGCAAAGTTCAGGTAAGATAAATAATGCATCATCTTTGGTGTTATTTTTTGTTCAAATTATTTCGGATAATTCCGTTGATGATGCAAGACCATGGAAGGTGGCAAACTTGAGATTGAATGTGTCACGTGTTACGTGGAAAAGTAAATTAGAAGATGAAGCAGCAGCAGAAGGAATGAAAAAAAAACAGCGCTGCACACTTCATTTAAATGAACATGCGGTTCGTTTTCACTTTTCTCTGTGGTTTTCACACTTTTACTCTTCGTGTTTTTTCTCTCACTCGAAACGAAAAGGTGTTTTACTGATGCACCAAATGGCACCGCAAAGGGTTGGTTTCAGTGATTGAGTTTTCACTTTCATCCCTCTGTCGTTTTCAAATTGAACTTTGAAAAAAGTCGAATTGATTGATATCGATGGTCGTTCGCCCCGCGACAATCAGTTGTTGCAAAACTTAAAAATGAAAAAGATGTCGAACATCGAATCCCAGAAGACTATTGATAAAATATTTAAATAGTTCGGTTTTCCCTTTGCGACTTCGAGATTCGATGGCAAAAACGAGCCGAATAGCAAAAACTCCCTATCGCAGCGACGAAAACACAAATGGAAAATGGAAAATGCGATCATCGGTGATGAAGTGAGAATGTGTCAATTCCATGCCGCATGCAGCGTTTGAATGCTTGCTGAGCATGACAGAGGAAAAAAAAAGTGACGTTCTTGTCGATTTGACCGGCAAAATTTGAATATATGACAGAATGACAAGATTATTGTTAAGAGCAACCCTAACCAGTTGGCCCGACGGTGCGAACGCAGTACATTCGATGCAGATTTGTCTTGTGTGCGACTTGTGAAGGTCATTCGTTCGAAAATGGAACAATTAAACAGCAAATCGATTTTGCTACAGCTTCTGTTGAAACGTCAATCCATTGTGTTTCAATCAATTCGAACCATCGATTGTGTTCATACTCAACAAGATTGGATTCCATATTTCATGTCGCAAATAAGGGAAAAAGGGCAAACATTTCTTATACTAACGGCTGCAAATATTGAATAATGATGAAAATTATGTGAAGAAAACAATTTGTCTGACAAAATTTGCCATTTGATATGCCTTGAATACCGTGTTTTAATCGCAGCGTCAAAGAATCACAAAGAAAACTTGCAGCCCCTGTTAGGAAAACTATTTTAAATTTATGTCAAATTGTGAGATTTTGGAAATTTTCAAACAAAAGAATTTAAATACGAAACTATATTTGAAATTCTTGAACTCAAATTTTGAATTTTGAAACTTCAGTTGGAATAATGTTCAATTTTTGTTTGATTTTCAACATCGATTCCAGAATAAATTCAATTTGATTCTCCTGACGGTGAAAATTTGCCTTTTGATGACATTTGATTCGCTTGAGCCAAGCGGCTTGACTATATTTCAATTATGTGTCTTAAGCCACTCCAAAGTGGAAAAAGGTGCGCGTTGTTCGGGGATTCACACACACACACACACACACACACGTGTTTTGAGAGATCAAACTGATGACATTAGTTGTTGTGAACCTCTGTCACCGTGATTGAATCTATTCTTTGGATTGAAAAAAAAGTGTTGTTGTTGTTGCCACCAACGGTCATCGAAATGTGTCCGAAGTGTATTCAATTCCGTTGCAGGGTATTTATCACTCCGTTTTTCCGTGTTTGTTGTGCATTGCAAAGACGAAGAAGAAGAGAGAAAAAATCAGAAAACGAAACATATTCCGGTGCATTGTTGAGCAAGAGTTTTGTAACAATGGTCTAACATCGAATTATTTAAACCCGATTCGAAGAGAGAGAGAGAGAAATTCGTCTTAAACACCGAACGAAATATGGTGCAATGTGTGCGTTTTGGAAAGAAACGGCATTTGTTTGAATTTCAATTTCGTTGGGCTTTGGAATAAAAACACAATTGCATGGCATATTGATTTGAATGTGTGTGTGTGTGTTGGGTTGCGTATCTGTTGCCTGTCTTTTGAAAACGGAGAACCCGGTCGAAGAATGAAGGTTACGGAGAGAAGTAAGGAAGAAGAAAAAATATGCGAAGAGTCGGTGAGAATAGAGGCAAAAATGATATTCAATCAGTTGTGGAAGGTTTTTCGTTTTTGCCTCTTTCATAAAAGTTCTTTTGTTAGCCGATCGGTCGGACAATGGTGCGCTTTCTTACACACACACACACATGCAGTGTGTTCCATCTTTGCATTTTGCAAACAAACACGGACACTCCACGCAACACCGATGATAAAGGAATGAATAGAGACGAAAAAAGAGAAGAAATATTCTTCAGAGATTATATAAAATTATTATTATTTGTATAATAGCAAACAAAGTAGACAAAACTTTGCTGGGATGAATGCGTGTGATTGAGTACTTTTTTCACAAAATGCTCTCTCTCTCTCTCGCACACACACAGAGACGCATCAATGGCAATAATAGTAATCATTTGAATTGAATGGCGAACAACGATGAAGAAAGGGCTGCTCGCTCGGCTCACATACACACACGCTCTCTCTCGCTCACTCACCGGATCAAACTTTCAATATATCTATAAATGATATAAATTAAACTTTAATATTTTTCCAAATAATAAATAATTGCTGCTGTTTGCTCTTTCAATACTTTTTTTTGCGGATGTCAGCCTCTCTGTATGAGTGAATGAGTGAGTGCCATTAGTGTTTGTGTGTATGATTTGATTTTTTGACCGTTTTTTTGATGTTTCGCCAAATGGATTTCACTCTGGCAGCTAATATCTTGTTCAAACGATGGCTCTTGTCAACAAATGCTCTTCCTATTCTATTTCTCTCTCCCTTTCTCTCTCGTTCTCTCTTTTTCTCTCTCTCTCTTTCTCTGTTCCATGTCCCCTTTTTCGCTCTTCGCTTCCGCTTCTCAAATTGATTGATTTTAGCTATTTCATTTCAAATCAAAAACAAAAAAAAAAACATTCAACCGATAGGCATCGATAACAAACGAAACGGCAGCGCAAACGATGACCGGAAATTATTGATTCAATTTTCGACGACAACGACGGAACGAAAGAAAAAAAAATTGAAACCGAAACAAAAAATGATATGTTTGATTTGACATGTTCAGCGTGCAATATTTTATCAATCCATTTTCGTGCACCCCCTTTTCTTGGTATGCTCGGTCGCCAATGGATTGACCATCGCCTGACTCGCCTACGTAATAAGTGATGCTTTTTACTTTTTAAATGCACACCGTAAATTGAATTCTATTCCACCCCGGGTGCGAGATAATGTCGACGACTGAAGATAAAAAAAAAATTGAAACGAAAGACAACGCACACAACGCCGCTTCTTACTCTTGCATTCAATCGGCATTACATTTGTTTATTTTTGCAATAGTCGTTGGCTGGCGCGCAATCGACTCGTCGTGTTCTTTTTCTCCTTCTTTTATATTTACTATTTTTGTGCAAGCTATTGTTTGAGGAACTTATATACCATTTGCAGAAATTCCTCACCATTTGGAAAAATTCCATCGGTTTTAATATGATTTCAATGTATATTTTTTTTGCTTACTTCTTTTTTGCAATATTGATTACAAATACATGTTGATACAACTAATAATTTTTATGTCTGCTACACACTGTTTTTTTTTATTCCATTGATTTGTTCATCATGTCTTCCCCTTTCTCTTGATTGAATTCGACTTTTTTTTCTTGGTTTGGTTTCAGTTGTTTAAAATTGACTTTTTGCTTTCTCGTCGGTATTTACACAAATGGAACACAAGTGGAAATGAACAAAATATGTGGGAATCAAGTTATTTCAAATAAGTCATTTCATGCAAAAAGAATAGAGAAAATATAATGAAGAGAGACAGTTTGAAACTGAAGCAAAAATTGAGATAGTGTTGATTCAATTGGGAAATTGGAAATTTTACACGATGAACATTGAGTGAAATCAACAATATTGCAATTTTACATTGATGCAATTTAGATCGATATGAAAATGAATGGACAAGAAGATTCTGTTTTCGGGTTCATCACGGAAATGTTCTTCCGCTTGCACTTCTGAACTTAAGCTATTAAAGTATTGAAATTATACTGCACGTCATTTCACATGCAAAAAGTAAGGACCATACTGTAAGGTATATGAATTCGATTGAGGTGATTTTTGGCGGATTTTGATTTGTTTTTCCTTTCAAGCTAGCTTTTTTTTGTGGATTTTGAACTTCTTCTTCGATTCAGACCTTCATTTGAATTCAAACTTTCCTCAAAATTGTAACAAACTCCCATTTTCATCTGAATACTTCAATATATATCATCAATATTTTGAATCTTCTGTCTAATCGCCGATATTTTGAATCTTCTTGACTGAAAACAGCATCTTCCAGCCCATAAGCGGGTTAACTTGAATAATATATTTGATCGTTTGCTAAAAGAAAATGTCACAAATGAAAAAAAAGAGACAACTTTCGTCAATTTAGCGCCAATTTCTGCAAGAATTCGAGCTTATAAAGTTTAAAATGGATGGAGCGAGCAAAATCATAGGCTGAAAAATGAACAAAAAACAGACGAAAAAAGATGCTGGGGTGTATAAAAAGAGAAAAGAACTGCGATAAAATCAAGCGTAAAGCTAAAGAAAAAAAAGTGTCAAATATATTTTTGGATCAATTTCAATGTTTATTTCATGTTTTTATGTCTGATTTGTGTGTTGTTGTTTTTTGTTGTTCAAAAAAATTTGGTTCACATATTATAATTTAGTTTCTATACGACGAATAAAATCAACGCGGCGAATGAAAAGTGTGATATAAATAATAATAATAATAATAATAATAATAAAAGAAAACAGTCTACCTAACCAACGAACTCCATCAATCATTTGTTATCATGCACATTCCTGTCATATCGACATTAATACAATGGTTTCTTTTCCTTTTAAACGACTAAAGAGCAAATATTTACATTCATTTGAAAATTAATTATCTAATTTGGTATCGAGATGAGTGTATGTATGGCTTGTCTAATTAAAAGTTACGTTTCAATTGATTTGTTATACTTTGTCTGGTATAAATATGTGCTTAAAAGTAAATTAGCTTAATGTTAATAAATTATTCCCTGATATTTGGATCAGTACATTGATTTTGTCTGTCAGAATTGTCTGTGTTTTCCGTCATTTAGCAACAGCCGATCGTTATCATCAGTGTTTTTTTTTTTTTACTTCGTGTGAGAGAAATCAAGGAAAGCAACAGAAACAATGACCAGAAATAATATTCAATTAAATTATGTTAAATTACTAAAAAAAATAGTCTTTAAATTAAAAATTTACGTCAAAAAAATTGGATAAAAACTAATAATTTTTGATTGTTTGGTGTACTCAGATGGAACCACAGATTTGGTGCGATTTGATCGGATCAACATCGATCGACCGCATCGATTTTAGATGTGAATTTAGCTTGAACAACCAATTGAATGGATTTTTGTTCTCACTTCATTCCCATTGAATAATTGTACAAAAAAATCACTTTTTCAAAAGCAATATTAACAAACACAAGGAAAAATAATTTAAAAGAAAAAAACACATAGTTTAACAATTGAATTAGTTCATAATATCAACTAAAGAGGAAAAAAGCGAACTTAATCGAACGAATCGAACTGAAAAGATTCACTTTTATCTCGGTGGAAAGGGAAGGAATGATTCAATGTTAGCTTCTATCTTTCATTTAAAAAACTTCGTTTCAAAATTCATTTTTTGCGATTTTGATGACGAAATTTTGATTTGATATTGAATCATTCCGTGCCTTTAACATACATTTTTTTTTGTCTAAAACACAGCTAAAGTCGAAATTTGTAAATTTTTCGCCCGTTTTCTTTCCAGCACTACATGAAATGCAGAGCTAATGTTACCTTTGCCGCTGAATGATGCGATGCTGCATGGTTAGTTGTCTCACAAAAGTCCGTCAAACATTATCAGCATTTGGACATTTGTAGGCTTTGTTTGCGATTCAATGCTTCGGCATCGTCTAAATCATCGAGATCTTCTTCGCTGAGCAACGGTGATCCGGATCGTGGTGAATGCATGCTGAGATCTTCCGGTTCGGTTTGTTCTGAAGCAGGCGCTTCAATCGATTCCTGTTTGTTTATGCGTGGAATGTGACGTGGATCATTCGATTTGCGGCTGTTTCGCTTTTCGCCACTCTCCGAATTTGATTCGACGCTCAAATCAAGTGGCATTTCATGGCCGGAATTTTCGATAATCGTTGACAATGTACTCTCATAGATCTGCTGTAGTGTTTGTGTTTGATGAACCGCACTTAGACTCTGATTCAATTTAAAGTGCTTGAGAAGCGCTACATTTGGACTGTTCAAATCAAGTGAACGTTCGCTAACCTCAGACCGTGATGTCACCGATTTATTTTCAATCGAAATGATGGGTGATGTGGCCGGTGTGAGCGGTGCATTTGAGCATTTATGATTGACCAAATGATGACTGCGACGGAAACTGGCGCTACATGTTTCACATCGGAATGGTTTTTCATCTTTGTGAATGATCATATGGGTTTTTAGCTGATTTGAATCCGAATATTTGCAGTTGCATTTGTCACAGGCGTATGGTTTTTCACCGGTGTGAACGCGTAAATGGCGTCGCAAATTGGCCACTTGTACGAATTGACGGTCACAGAATTTGCAGTGGTATGGCTTTTCGCCGGTGTGCAATCGCATGTGCGTCTTCAAGTGATGGTCCCGCGTGAATCGTTTGTCGCACTCGGGGCATGCAAATGGTTTTTCGCCGGTGTGGGTGCGCTCATGGTTTTGCAGCACGTGTTTGTAGCCGAATGATCGGTTGCATGTTTGGCATGTGAACGATTTATCACGAGTTGGCTCTTTGTTTGGTGTGGTACGAATCGACGTTGACGATGGCGACTGATGTTCAACCGAGCCAATCGATTGTGGCGATGAACCGGAGGTGGGTGGGCTAATTGGACCTGGGCTCACTGCACGACCTGTTTTTGGTGATGATTCCAAACCACTGTATGGCTGAAACAACATTTGATTACGCTTCCTCTTGTAGTTTACCGTTTTCCGACTGTTCGATTTCTTCGCCGACATTTTGCTGGTGTTCGAATCATTTTCACCCAAATTGCTAAGACTCAACTCGTAATTATTGGCTTCATCGCTGGTTGTTGTTACGATGTTATTGTTGCTGTTGATTTTCTTGACACTTTTCACACTCAACGCTGGTGAGATGGGCGAAATTGGCGGAGAGTTGCCCATCGGAGGCAATTGCCATGGGAACAGTGAGTGAGGATAGAAATTTGATGTTGATGAATTCAAGCGAGCGGCCAATAGAGCGGCCGTTTGATTCGCCGCAAACATTTGCGGTGTTAGCATATTGATTGGCGATCCAGTCGCTGCACTGAACAGACCAGCATACAAATTCGTTGCCTCTGGTGGCAAAGTGGCCGCAACCAATGATGATGGCGATAGCGGTGAATTTTGATTCAATTCTTCTTGCTTCATATTGGCCAAAATATTTGCTTGCAACGCAGCCAAACCTATGGAGAAAGGGAGGAGAAAGAAAAATTGATGGAATCGGTTAGAAAGGTTTAGAAAATAAAACTGAAAAATAAAACTTAATTCAAAAAAGAGGGAAAATGCTAAAAAAATGGAGAAAAGTACAAAAAAGTTTTGCGAAATTCAAAAGAATTCACGAAAGTCTGAGAAAGAAACAACGAAAAAAAAAGAATGTTCTGACGTTTCTTTTTTACTTTCAAGCAGACCAAAGCATGAAAAATAGGGAAAAGTCCAGAAAAAGAGAGAAAAAAAGTTCAGTTCTAAAGTGATCATATAGTCGACTTGGTAGCAATAGCATTTTCTTCGTTTTTTTTTTCATCAGGAAGCACGCTTCTGTTGTTCATCTCCCTTCTTCATAAAGAAAGGAAGGACAAAAACAAGGAGTTTTTTCTTTGCTCTCCTCTGAAAAAAAAATCTGACTCATTTCAAAAAGGGAAAAAATGCGCGTTTTCAATCCCTAACGGTGATATTTCAGTACAGACTATCGTCTCAAATCAGCAGCTCATCCAAAGGCACGCGTATTACCGTAAAAGTCAGACGAAACAAAGAGAAGCAGCAGCAGCAGCAGTAGCAGCAGCAAAAAAAATAATCGATGTTATTTGGCAAATGAGCATGTCTTAAATGGAGTAGACGATATTGCCAAAGGTCAAAATGTTCGTTTACCTATTAAAATTGTATTTATTTTCATTTCATCATGGCAATCGATTGGAGTCAAGTTCGAATCTTAAGTCTGTTGAAGCAATTTTTACTCTCACTTTCCCTCTCTCTCTCTCTTTCTCTCTCTCCCTCTCTCTCGCATCGTCAATCTTCGAAGAAAAAAAATCAACAATCCGTTTCGCCCGATCTGTTTTGGCCTTTTTAGCTTCAATTTCGTTTCTGTTGAAATCAATATTTGCACTTTTAATATTGATAAAGAGAGAAAATACAAAACAAACCGACATCTTCACATCGGAAATATGAACGGGATGGCGCGCATCTTCGACACTCTCATTGAATTATTTATCCAAGTAATTTGATTGACAAACTGTTCATATGTCATATATCGTTCGTCGTCATAAAGAGTTGACCTGTGCGCTATTGTCGAAATGGAGGAAGTGGGGGAGATTTATTGAAAGATGTGGATTGAAGTGAAACAATGAATGGCAAATGGATTTGATTCAAGGACAAAGCAACGGGATGAGAAATGGTAAAAGGATAATTTTACTCTTTTGCTCTTAAGAAAGGAAAAAGACATTTTATTTTGAAATATGCTCCCCAAACTCAGTGGCTCAGGTGAATTTAGCTTAAAACTCAAAAGAAGAAAAAAAACAATTCCATTCGTTTAAGAAAGGAGTAAAACGCGTTAGAAGAATAATTTATGCTTTTTTCCTAGTACATCAACCAGAAGTCTTACTCCGTGTTAACAAAAAAAACCGTGCATAAATCCAACCGCAAATGGTTTGAAAAAAAGGCGGCGGTGGCGTAAAAATGCTAAAATTATTTGCGTTATGAATTGGATTTTGTGAAGCGTATCGAAATCGACGCGTTCACCTGCCATTCAGTGTGAAATGAATCATATTTTCGATTTCAATTCGGAAGCAGCGAATAAACAACGAGAGAGCGTGAGCGAAAAAAAAACCCGTTGCGTTCATTCACACACACGATTGTTTTCCATGAAATAAATCGTAATTTATTTGAGCGGCAAAAATTCTTGCGGCATTTTTTTCTGCTTCGAATCGAGCTGTGCGTATATATATTCTGGTTAAGTCAGTTTTCTGTTTTGGGTGACGTTTCAAGACGTCATGATGGCCTAGGCAAATCGGGTGAAACGCAACAACACACATATCTGATGTGTGTGTGTGTGTCGTACATGTTGTATTTTTGCCGGGTATTTGAGTTGTCGGCATATCAAAACACGAGCGCATTGTCTTATTATGTAAGCGACGACGGAATCGGGGGGGAGACGAAGCAAAAGAGCGAAGAAAAAAACACTCCGAAAACCCGAATGCTTTTATGTACTTATTAATATATCGTGAGTGATATGTGTGAGTGGCTGGTTGGTGAGATGGGGTACAGCCCGCAGCATCCACATGCAAAGAGTAAACAATAATACGGAAAATCTATATCATGTTGTGTGCACGTTTATCGAATGGATGAGTTCAGCCACATACACACACACACACACACAGAGAGAGAGAGAGAGAGAGAGAGAGAGAGAGAGAGAGAGAGAGAGAGAGAGAGAGAGAGAGCATTACAACAGAAGCAGTAGCAGCATTGCTGGTGGAGTTAGTATCAGAATGGTGGTAGAATCAGCAACAGACTGAGCTGTATATGTGGCTACGAACAGCACTTATTTCGCATATGGATGTACGAAAAGTTATGTATTCACGCCATGTGTGTGCGTGTGTATGTATTATGCAAACCCAACCGAAAATGAAAGTGGTGTGTGGCATTTTGTGTGGCGGCTGGGTTGTTGATGTTGTTGTTGTTGGATGTGTTTTTTTTTGTTATCGGACGTCGCGACATTAGAATTACTATCGTCTGCTGTCTGTACATATGTATATTTTGAGTGTTTGAACCGAGGAGTTGTGTGTAGTTGAATTTGCGAAACCCATCATACGTCGAAGCGTGTGACGTGTTGTACCCATTTCGCAACATTTTCTTTCCGCAATAAAAACACACACACACACACACCGAGAAACGGAAAAAAAATGTAAACATTCTGTTTTGCACCCGCCAAACCATTACCTCCCCGCGTTCGCTTCGTCTGCACTTGGAGATGGTGAACCGTCTTGGATGTTGATGATACCCATTCAAATGCTTCTCATGTCACCATCGAGAAAGCAAGAGAAAGAGAGAATGATCTTTATCGCTTTTTCATTGCTTTACCATCCGAAACGAGTTTAGTGACAGCCAACTCTAATCAAAAATTAAGCCACAAAAACGCCTTTCGCCATACTACGATATATTTTCGCCCGTATTCGTTCGTTGCGTGTAAAACACATTTCGCTTCCGCATTCACTGTGATTTCTCGAAGAGTTATCGGAAATTGTTTTTATCATATCGACTCGTTATATCGTATTCGTATTATCTCAGCAGCAGCAGTGGCGACGACGGCAATAGCACAATGACCACATAAACCAGTCATTCGAACATACGTATGCGTTACACACACATGTGGTCGTCTTATTTTTGGGTTTCATATTGCCCGAATTGAATTCAATATTATCACACAACCGCATGGGTTAAACCGAATAACACAACTCTTTTATCGTACGACTTTTTTTTCTTTGTTTTTTTTTGGATATCTCTTCATTGGATAACTACTTCGAACGGAGATATTTCCTTTGGATTTACTAAAAATTCAACTCATTCGGTTTTTTTTTCATTGCGTAGAACTGATAATTGTGCGACCCGAGTTTCAACGGGTTTTGGTTCTTTTTTGATTTGGGAATTTAAATGAGCAATTTTATTTTAACCATGAGAATGCTATTAAAAAAGAAATGAATCAAAATTAATGGAAAAAATGTAGACGCAACACGGGATGTCTACGTTTGTCAACAAACAAAAAAATCCACATTTTCAAATTAAAACAAAAACAAATAGAACTCGAAAAAGAAATGAAAATGATGAATCTGTACGAAACATTTAGATCCGCATGAAAAAAAACCTCTTCGCAAAGGAACGAAGAAGACAAAAAAACCATCCGCATTTAATTGATCGAAAAGTGAGAAACGCCATTTTGCGTTGAGTAACGATTCGAAAATTACGTTCATTTTGTGAAAAAAGCGTGTGATGTGCGCTCTGCTCTGCCAATGCAGCTCAGCAAAAAAAAAGAGAAAAGAGAGATTTATGGTATTTCTCTTCTTGTCGCTTTAGCTGAATTATTTTTGTTTATTCCCTGTTATCTTTCATTAAATTTTCGAGTGAGAGATGTGCTTCTTCATCCTTATTAAAGCATCCGCATTTTTAGCGACGCAACTCAATCTATCCCCCTCAATCCCACACTCTCTGCTGCATATGCCTTTTCATTCGCATTCGCATTCGCATTCGTTTCGTTTTTAAGCGTAATTTTTTTTTGCTACCTCTACCATCATGGCATATAATAGAATTTGGCTACGATTTCAAGAAAACAAAAAAAAAGAAGAAGAAGAAGAGCACGGCAACATTATAAATTATATGCCGAATGTTGCATTGCATGAAAAGAGATTAACGAAACGACATGAAGAAGTGGCGCGATTCGGTATAAAATAAATCGTGAAAGGAATACGGTTGGCGTTCAATCAAACAACCCTAATTTAACTTTCCATTTGTGCGCGCGGGATGGCAATTCGTGTACATTCCTCATTTTTGGTATTCAGGGAAAAAAGAAATACGTACCGCAGTGAGTCAGTGCTCTTTTTTCGGCTGTTTTTTTCTTATCTCTTTCGTTTTTCCGGTGGATTCTTGTTAATTCTTGGCACAGGTGGAGAATTTGAAGCGCAATGATGTTCCCAGTTGCTGCATCATTTTGGCGTGTGATACGTGTGTCATTGTATTAATCAGCACAAAGTCATAGGCGAAATGGGCGCATCAACAATATTATTTTAATGATATGGTAGCTTTTGGGTATATGAAGGCGATTGGGCTCCGGCTGTTGGGAAGTCAAAGTGAGAAAAACCCCAAAAAGTTGACAAATACAAAAGTTGATGATGTTCGCATGCAATTTTGCTGCTTCACATGATATAGAAACAGCGATACCCGATACGGGGGAAAAATGGGGAGTTGCGTATAAAACGGTGTATAATTGCGTGTTTTTGTTTGAAATTAATAGACATTCGGCACGATTTGAATGGCACCAAAAAAAAATGGAAATCGAAAATGACGAACGCACGTAGAAAATGGTAATGAGCCTGACAGAAAATTGCACGGCTTACGCACGACAATTGTTCTCGCTGTGCGACAGATAAACAAGCGACATGGTAATGGCATTCCAGAAATGATGTTAAAATGCGACAGCTCTGAATAGCAATCACCAAACGAAAATCGATGCGATTTAACAAATACAACGGCTTCAACGTGTATCGATGTGAAATGTTTCGAAATTCGAAATCCGGCACAAAATCAACGATTTTGACATTTTGACGACACATTTAAATGATGATTGTGCTTAACGAAAGAAAAAACGGATCCACGCACAAAAAAGACAATTGAAACGATATTTTTGCCTAGAGTAGGGGTGAGAAAGAGAGAGAGAAAGAAATCGATCACAAAATTATTAAAATTATTGCAAGCGATTAACTTGAATTGACGCTCCGAATTCGCGAAACGAATGTGAATAATGAAAAATGACGGGAAAAGCACACACACACACACGTTCGAAATGGAAAACAAAAGCACTTTTCGTTAAGCAGTTTGTTTTTGGGTAGTGATTTCATCATAATTTATTTTTTCTGTGCTCGCAGGAGTTGATGCCACTCTCTCGCTCCCTCTCTCTCTCTCTCTCTCTCTCTCTCTCTCTCTGTCATCTCAATCGCATATCGTTATCGTGGCACATGCGGAAATTCACTTTTTCTCGGATATTCGCCTCCCACGCCACAAACACTTTCATTGTCATCTCATCATATTTCATGTTTTTCTGTTTGTTCCCTCTCGCCTTGGTTCCACCACACAAAAATAAAATTTTCATGCCGAATTTAATCGTCGTTATTGGGAACTGTTAAGCCTGCCTGCCATTTCATCTGGTTGCGTTTTTTCTTTTGGGTGCGTGCATAAGCCGTTGTAATTCATTCGGTGAAGTGAAGGCGAAGCCAATTGTTAAAATGCGATGTTCATTAGGAAATGCGTTCAAGTGTTGTTATTTTTTTTTTCTTCCCGCGATGTTGGATGCGCGGGTAGTGAAAATACGTTTGCACATTTTGCCAATTCCATCAATTCACAAGTGAAACGTTTTTTTTTCTACTTCCTCTTCATCGATAACCGTTTCGCAATCGCAAAAGAAGATTACCTGAATTTCGTTTCCTCTTCCTTTTCTGTCGAATATGAAAAATTAAGCCGTTCTGAGAACGACACACACCAAGTACGAAATTGTGTGGCTTGGGAAATAAATTCGGAATTGGACTAAAATTGGAATTTAATTCTTTAAGAGGAGAAAATGGATTTGCCCCGTTTAAGTGTTTCACGTTTTTTTCATGTGAACATTTTTGTAATATTTTCTTTTTTGTATGAAATGTCATTGAATTTGAACGCATTTCCCGTTTGTTCATTTCCGAGTTAGCGATACCTATACACATGTATACACGTAATGTTGTTTTGCTACTCAAGCGTTTCATTCAATTAATAGGCGTGTTAAGTGGAGCCCGGTCAAGCGTAGCAAACAAATGAACGGCGCTTGCCAAACCTGTCCGCTTAAGCGTTTGAATTTGAACAATCGCATTCGGTTTTGATCGTTTTTCAATTCAATTTTTAACCGTTACATTCCGAAAAATATAAAACCGTTTCTAATCCAACGCCCAAAATTTGGGGCCCAAATTTTTGTTTCTTCCAAACTTAGGGTTAATTGATGTATTTTATCTACAAAAACCTAATTTCATTCCAACTTCCATTCATGTTACCTATCAAAAGCATTTGAAAGCGTTTTGTATCGTATGTTTTGCCAATGGGCTATTGGTGTAGCCATTTTAATTGGATGCCATTCATTTGGGTTGTGATCATAATTAAATTCATGTTTACATTTGCATTTGAAATTCAATCCCGATATAATTTTGAATAGTGTATATGTACGCGCGGTTGCTTCGTGTCCGCATAAAAAGTTTGTGTGTTGAATGAAAAAAATAAATGAAGAAGCAAACGAACACGGTGTCGTCGTCGTCGTTGGCACAAGAGAAAAACAAACATGACGATATAAATTGTCATTGAAAATGATTAAAATAAAAGTATAAGACACACCCACCAAAGTGAACAGTAGTCCGAACCGATGATGACATTATGAGCAGAAGTCAACAGAGAGAAGAAAAAAAATAATTTTTTTCTTCGTAAAATTACAATAATAATGAATTCATCGAGTCAATTAAAATGACGACGACATCAATCGTGAGTCGCAAACGACGATAAAAACAAAGACACAAAAAGAACGGTCAAAAAGTAGAGAGTTCGTAGCTTGAAGCAGCTCACGTACAGCCAGCCGCCGCACACACATACACACACAAGCAGCTCGAGTAAGAGAATAAGTTTCGTACGCGTTTAATGAAAAGTGAAAAGGAAAACGACGACAACGACGACGACGACGACGACGACGATGATGATGTCGAATGAAAAACAAAAACCCACCAGAGAATATTCATTTGGGAAAGAGATGAGCGGGCGCGGGCTCGGCAAGAAGAAGGCATTATGCACTGTACATAGCACAGCGCTCCGAGAAACTGATACAAATGGCAGGCGAAAAAAGGAAAAAGAGTGTGAGCAACGAAACGCGAAAAAAGGGGCTTGATTAAATTACTTTGCCAGCTGAATTTCATTTTATACTCTCATTGTTCTCATTGTCCGCCCGTTCGCGTTGTACGTGTGCCAGTGTTAGTGTTTGTGAGTGTGAGTGTGTGTGGGTGAATGCGAGAAATGAGAGAAGAGTGCTGTGGCTCACTCACTCTCACGCGGCGTTCTCGTATTGTTTTTGTTTAATGTTTTTGTACTTCGCGCATAATTGGTCGTTGCTTATGCCGTTTTCTTGTTGCCGTTTTTTTTCCCTGATATTAGGCTGGTAAAAGTATTTTACTCTCCCCTTTACTCGAACACAAATGTGACAGAAAAAACAACGTAGCAGGAACATTCTGTTCGGAATTCTGTTGTTGCTGCTTCCATCTCGTCGTTTATGCGGGCACATTTATCATGCTTTTCCATACCAAAATGGCATTTTGTCTTCGCATAATATTGTTTTTTTTTTTTTCGGCCAACGCGTTAGTTGACTGGGGCGCTTCATAAACAATGAAGACACCGAAAACAGATTCATTTTTTTATGTGTCGTGTATCGCTCGCTTCGCGCGCCACTGTCATCGTCGTTACTGTTCTTGGTTAAAAATTAATTATCGTGTAATTACTTTGCGCGCGCACACACAACATTCTTACTGGCTGGGGCCGCCATGGCACACACCACACAGTACACACTACCACCGTTGCCATTCCAGCGAAACGGTAATTTTGCATGGATTTTCATCATAAAATTCAGCTGACGCGCGCACTCTTATCTCGCGCTGCACCTTCCACCAAATGTTCCCCAGAACAGATTGCTTGGTATCTAAAACTGAATTCCAAGCCGTAAAGCCAAATTAAATGCAAATTGCCAAATAATTAAATAAAATTCAAGCGCACAATCGCTTAAATGCAACCATTCAATCTTGTCATTTGGCCAATTTTAATTGATTGTCTCGAGACTAAAACATTTTTTTCGGAAGAACCAAAAAAAAAAAACGTCAAATCGAATTCGTTTCATTTGATTCGTCTTTTCAATGTTATTCCAATGCACTGTTTGCCATTTTCCCATACGAATGAGAAAAAAAAATCATCATTGCATTCATCGGGTCAAGTGAAGGTTTGTGCTTGGTGAACGTGTCTTACGACTGCACTTTCATCTTGAGGGTAACTACACCACTCGCTCACACACACACACACATCGAAACATCGCACGCCGAAGAGTGTACGTGCTTCTCTCCATTTCAATTCATCAACGGCACTTCTCCACTCTCTTTGCTTAATATACACACATACATTAGATGCTTTCCAACGCATATCCCATTCATACGAACGCTATATTTGATTTACTGTTCGCAAATCGAATCTAATTAAAATATATGTTCAACTTGAAAGCCAAACTTGAACAGCGAAATACGAACGCTAGATGAATGAATGGCACAATTCCATTTTCAGCCAGACCAAAAGTGAATCGCATTCACTGAACGCACTAAATGTGTATAAATTCGCTTATAGAGAACAAAGTGAATTTTGAGACGTTTCAAGACGGAATTCCTTGATTAACATTTATGAACAAATATTAATAGAAACAAGAAAGAAAAAAACCATCGAGCAAACAAGTGACGAGGAAGCTGATTTGGAATTTGTGTGAAGGAAATACTTACGAAATAATGTGAATCATATAAGGGATTTTTTTTTTAACTGCAAACGAATGGAGAAATTATACGAAAAAAAAAATTCGTTTCTATTCTTACAAACATTTTTTTTCTGACTCAAGACGAATTGTCTGATAAAAAAAAACGCCGAATTCAGTTAGAATCTACTTTTCTCGGAACGAGAATAGAGTTTTGACGCATTCAAAAATTCAAATCGCGTTATCAAGCCTTTTGCGGGCAAACAGAAATATGGTTTATATTCATGAAAGCTGTGTCACCATACGACAATGAATCAAGTAAGTTTAGTATCATAAAATATTTCCGGACAATGAATCTGTTCACCGTGATCATTTGCATGAATTCAATCGATAGGTGATGCGACGAATTTTGCAACACAAAAACGAAATTTACGGAGTCAGGAGTACTCAATTGTTTCTTTCGGATAAAACCCCTGTGCTAATTGATTCAGTGGCTTATTACAAGGTAATATCCATTGTAATAATAGAATTGTGTACAAACTTGTTTTAAAATCATTTTCATCATTAAACTTAAACATTTTTTTTTTCCATCATTAGAATGACTTTAATTCTACAACATTAAAATATTCACAACAAAAAAAAAGAAGAAGAAAAACAACAGATAGAAATTAACTCATTCGACTCAATCAAATTAAATGATTTGTGAAAGGAGTCGTTATTCAAGTCGTTTGTGATCACTTGAAATGGAATTTGAGTATTCGATTGAAACCATTCGAGTCTAGATGTTGGTCATTTCATGTAAAAATGTTGTTTTTGTCGTTAGATTGATGATTCATGATTTTCAAGACAGATGAATATGGTACTTACTTTGTGCGGTGGTTTGAGCATTTTGTAAAAAACTAAGAGCTGACATTGACATCTTGAAGGGTTTGTTTGTCTTTGGGCCAAATGAGAATATCGGATGAGTGTGTGGTTGGCTGATTGAATCCCAGGAACGGCAATTCACTTCTTAGTGACCGTTTCAAATGTTCATCAAAAACCAAAACCGAAAAATCTTTCTTTTAATTCACAAACTAAACATTGCTTCTAAATTCAGATGGCAGAAAAAAAATGTATTCGATGTGGTTTTGATTTGAATTTTAATTTCTTTGGGTCACTTTGAATTTAAAAATCATGTTCCAATAATTTTGGTAGTTCAGTTCAATGGTTTTGTGTCTTTTAAAACTTCGTTTGCTATGATTTTTTTTAGAAATGCGATTAAAACTACACTTTGGTATTTGTTTTTATTATTTTAGAATGATTTACTTTCAAGATTTGAATTTGTACTGTTTATCGTATAAGTTTTATTTCTTTCAATGTGTTTTCGAAAATAATCTGCAATTTAAAAGTGTTCACTGATTCACACACCGTTGTTGATGTTTGTTTCGAGCGACAAAAAAAAAAGGAAAATTAATCGGTATGAAATGTTTCGTTGCAAAATGAGAGACGAATAGCGAGCGGGTGAGAGAACCAAAAATGTGTATACACACATATGAGTGAACTAGATCAACGCTGAAACACGACTGAATCATTTTTCAAGCCCGCACCTAGTAATATGCTACGTTCTGCGGCAACATGCTATCCTTCTTTGTACAAAATACACACATTATGCACAAAACAACAATAAACGCTCGCCCGTTCGTTCGTTCGCTCTCTTTCCATTGCCACACACAGCACATAGACTCTCTTATACGTACACACACATACAGACGGCGCACGCCACCCGGTTATGTATATATAGAGTTAGATGTACCCAATGTACGCAGCCGAAGCAAGTCACGCACCGAATCGCTGTGGCAAAGGGCCCATTCCTTCTCTCTCTCTCGCCCTCTCTTTCGCGCCTGATTCTTCGGAATCTATACGCACATAGATGTAGAACAGCACAAAAGGGAATCAACGACACACAATCAGCATCACAGTAGCATAGCAAATCGGTGTCGGTTTCTGAGTGCGCTTTCCGTATGTACCGATTGTTGCGTAGAGGCGATATTACTGCTTCGGGTAAATAAAAGCGCTCGGCTATGTACATGTTTGGTGGACGCAACGAGGGATAATTTTGTTTAGGTCTCACTCTATTTCGTTTTCATTCCCATCAACCTCACGGTTCTATACTATTGTTGCTGTTGTTGTTTCGGACATGAATTTTTCGCCCAAGTAATAACCATCAGAACGAAAGCGAAACGAATGAAGAAAGACTGATAAAAAAAAGAGTCAACTTTGCAATCGGTTCACATTAACATGCATGGATTTTTGGTCGGTTTCTGACGCGACTTCACTCAAAACAATCGCGCGCTGCAAACGCACTTAACAAATAATCTATCTCTCTCTTTTGGCCCAAACATGTACGTGCGTGTACGAAACACATTCCATCCCCAAATGATTTTGTCACTGCATTCGATTCACTTTCATTGGAACTCTTTATCTTTGACATGGAATTTCGTTTTTTTTCTCTTCGTTTTGACGACAGAGAAAAAAAGACGTTTTATTCCCATGGATACATATACTCAATGCACTTGACTCATTCAACTGATAACAACAAATTAACATAGTACTTTTTTCGGTGATTGCGACAACCAAAATATTTGTCGAAAATTTGTCCATGTCACAGCAATCACACATCTAGTTTATGTCATTTGGTTTCCATACACCAGATCCTTTTCCACTCTTCTTCGTAAGTCCATTTTTAAATTTAGCAAAACGGCGATTGTGTCACAAAATGCAACAATAACTGATAATGTGCTGCTTTTCGGGTTACTCTCGCTCATTCGTTCCGTAGCGCGATAATTGACAGACTCAACATCAAAATAGAATACATCGTCCAAAATCGGCATAATACTTTCATTTTATTTAATAAATCAACAAAGAGAGAAAAAAGCTATTTTTCCACTCTCCATCAGCTCGAATCGAACGTGATTAGCGATAGGATTTTGCATAGTTCAAAACATCGCGAATTGACAAGAGAGAAAGTGAATGCGCGACATACACGAAAAAAAAAACGAGTCGCCAAAAAAAAAACTTTCTTGACCTATGCTAAGCCCTATCGCAAACGCGTTGCGAATTTCTTCTCCAAAAATAGCCACATCTCGATGATTCTGCTTCACTTTCATCGCATTTACTTAGAATACGGCATTTATATACTTGGTGGCACATCAATTTCTATTTTTTGGGGCATTTCCATTCTGATATCCATTTTGTTGAAATCCATTTGAATTTTTTCCAATTAATCGCTCCATTTCAACAAATATCTTCTGTTTTTTAATCAGCAATTAAAATCATCCAACTCATGAGAAAAATGGTTGCGATAATTCCCAAAAAAAAAACAATGTCATACCAATTTTTACACCAAACAATGAAAAATTTTCGCCTATTCATAGAATTCTTTGCGATTGTGAATGCAATTGTTATTTTTCAGCTGAATGAAATTATCACGCTTTGCGTAGGTTTTTTTTCTCGTTTATATGTGACCTGATTTCGGGTGCCTTGTGAACAATTTTCGGAAATTGCGTGGGTTTCTAGGAAAGCATTGATGCAAACTAGTTATTTTCGCTGAACAACTCTTATTCAATTATGTAGAAGAGTTCACAGCTGACGATCAATTCCGTTTAAATTGAGCAACAGGTTTCGATTTCTTTTATCAATTTCTCCGTTTTTGAATGATTTTTTTTGGGTTTTTTAGCGCTATTTTTTTCGTGGAATTCTTTGTTTCGTTTTTTTTTTGCTTCTATTTTGATTTTTTTTTTCTACTTTCGAGTTCAAAAACATTTTTTTATTATTCATTGCAAATGGTTCAATTGCTTTTTCATGATTTCAAATGTTTGAATTGGTTCCGTTGATTAGACGTACAAACATAGGAGAGCAAAAGTGATTAGAAATGACCCGAAGTGAGTAATTAATTTGACATTTTCAAATTCACAGCGATAAAAGTGATTGATTCGAGAAGAAATTAGAGGTGCTTTTGAACATGCCAGATGAGGTCGCTATGTTTTTGATGATGCAAATAATGTGTGTAGAGTAGAGAAAGTAGAGTATGTGATTGAGTATGAAATAATTTAGAGTAGAGTAAGGAAAATGAAAGGAAGATTTTTTGGACAATGGACCGTTTTCGAAAAAAAATATGTTTGCTTCATATTCCTGACCATGAAGAACTGTTTGAATACTCATTCGCATTCGTTATTCATGAAATTTGAAATTCGCATTATTTTGAATGGAAAACCTCCACTTTGTATTCAAATGATCGAATATTATTTGTGATTTTGTAATGTTCAATCATTGAACTATTCTAAAATGTTTTCGGCCGAAGCAACAACAGATGAAAAGCATAAGCCAAAAGTCCAAATTTTTTTGTCTAAAGTCTATTTTAGCGACAAACAATGTAAAAACTCGAATGAAATGAAACGAAGAAAAGAAAAGAAAAAGCTGTTGGATTTTATGAATGTAAAACATTGGGTCTGAAATTGGTGCAATCAACCCATTGTTGGAGTTATATTTTATTTTCGCATTTCATGATGGACAATGAATGGGTGAATGAAAAGTGAAAATCGAAAAACAATGGAAAAATTGTGCTAATGGAACATAATCCCATTTGAAATGCATTATTTGAATATGCGCTGTGCAATTGTGCATAGAGATGTGTCGATACCCATTCATGTGCTGCATTATTCTTCATCGGTTGGTTCTCCTTTTGCCAGACTTTGGCATCGAAAGGAACTGGTAATTGGATTTCCAGGCTATAATTAATATTCAATTGTCCGAGTTTTAAATGGCAAAAGTAATAAATATTAGGAAAAAGAAGCGAAAGAAGGAATGAGGTGAATGGTAAGAAAAAGGAGACACACACAGAATCGAACGTATTATGGTCATGAATGTAAACGCAAAGCAGAATTGAAACGAAACTGTGACTTTCACAGGTAGGAATATGTGCAATGGTCAGAAAATGCTTCAATCAGAACTGATTCTTGCAAATTGTGATTTTCGGTCACACATTACAAATGATTTACAATGACCCAACTTGTTGGTGTATCGTTCAATGGTTTTCTTGCAACCGTGAATCCGAGGAGAAATGTGAATCAAAAGTGTTCTAGAATTGAACATGCTGAAATGTTCGAAAACTTAATCAAAAACTCCAATGCACATCACGGGTTTTTTTTTCTCAAGCAACTTTGAGTCGGTTCTACTTTATTTTACCCCCACCAGCTAAGAACAACACTGTAGATGTTGTTTGTTTAAAAGTGTTGATTTCTGATATTTTTGCTCGCTTTTGGTCAAAATGCGTTCGCATTTGGTTTATGATTTGTTTTCTTTTCTGCTTAGAACGAGCAGTTTATAACATGCAATCTGGACACGACTCTTTTTTGTTGTTGTTGTTGCAAAAAGTCTCATTTCGTTTGCCCTTTTTGTTGTTGTTGTTTGTTTACCTGCGTTGATGTTTGTTCAAACTCGTTTCTGTCCTTGTTTTATGATCTGCTATTGAGGATCAATATTCAAACGATTGAATGGATTTTTTTTTTATGGTGGATGCAAAATTTTGAAATGATGTGTCCGAGCGTTGTTTTCTATATTCCGGTGTACCTTCGATCGCCTTTGCCTTGAACCGACTGCTGAATGGGCATTGGCCTGAAGCGTCTTGAACATATTGCAAATGATACATTTTTAACGAGATTAAGATGCATTTTCATCATTTTATTGCCAACTCTCCATTGTCCACTCAATTGGCTTATTGTAATATCGCAATTTTTTTTTTAATGAAGTCTCCGTCTCCGTGCAACCATTCGTCGTCGTTCGACATATGAAGTTTGCGCATATTTTTGTTGCACACATATTTTGCATGTTATCACCTAATCATTTTGGTGTTTTGTTTGAAATTTTGGTGAAAATCGGTTGCGTTTACAGCAAACGTTACATATTAAACGTACTAAGAAGACCAATCTTGAGTTACAAATATTGAAATGAACCAAAATTATATCTCTGAAACAATGGGACGTGGAAAAAATGAGAAAAAGTTTGGAATGAAAAAAAGAATGGAGCAAGAATGGTGGAATGGCTAAATCGGATGCATTTGCTCTTGTCAAATCAAAAATTGAATAAATGTCGTGCGAAAATGAGCGTTTCGAACGCTTCGGACGACAATCAATGGCTTTTGAGGTAAAGTGTCGCAAAACATGATCGTCTAACACGACGGCACAAAGATGAGCCAACGAAGAAAAAAAAAGCGATTCAAGCCTAAACACATAGCATTTTTGAGAAGCATTCGATAAAAATCCAATGGAATCTCCAAATAATTGCGTACGCTTGCTAAACACATTCTCCATCTCATTCTGTGTTGTGTGTGAGCTTTTTTCTTCTTCTTCTTCTCCTCGCTGAACCGAAGTTGATGTCCGAGAATAAAGGGAAAATAAAATCAAACGTAAAGTCGTACACGTAAGAGCTGAACCCTCGGTGCGTCCATCAACTGCATGGGTAAATAAGGTTTATTTTTTTCTTTGCTTGCTTGCTTGGTACATATACAAAGACTGGCCACGCACATACTTGTACATAAGTGTATGCGCCGTATTTCGTCACGACGATGGACTACGCTACGCTGCTGCTGCTCTTCTCTTCTTTCTCGGGCACCGCTGCTGTGTTCAAGAGTTCGGCCCGCGCTATGTACACATGTTTATGTGTATTGGTGCGTGCGACTGTATCTCTGTTCCTTCTGTGTTTATGTACTTCCCTGTTTCGACCGAGAGAGCGAAGTAGAAATGGAATGGAAAAAAAATACCGACCGAACTGAAAAACATAAGCGAATAGGAAAGAGAGTGAATCTTACTCCGTTTCTGTTGCTTTTGTTGTTGTTGTTGCTGTTGCTGTTGCTGTTGCTGTTATTGTTGAATGTTATTGCGAGGACTATTGGCCGTAGAACGATATTAGTTAGGTGCAGGTTTGGAAAATAACTCAGTCGTGTTTCGGCATTGAATTGGTTCGCATAACTGAGGCACGGAGACTTTATTTTCCAACAAATACAAATTTTTTTTTACGTTTTTCCGTTTCGAAAGAGAAAACAACGTTTTTTTTTTCGTTCACCCCAACAAATAAAAAAACAACAACAATTTTTTACATGAAACCAAAAAAAGCGAAATTCGAAGAGAAAAAAAAATGTTTACACATTTCCAAAAAATACAACATTTTGAACAATCATACAACCATAGTACAAACTAAGTGACAATTTTTCATAGCCAATTTAAAGTGTTTAACAAATAAGAAAAGAGGAACAACTCGAGATCCTATTTTTTGACACAACACACCAACTAAAACAAAAAAAACATTGCCATTTTTACCGCATAAGATCGTCTTACATTTCAATAAGGAATAGTTAAAACAGACAATCAGTGCATTTTAAACTAAAAACAACAACGGACACATATTTTAGAGACAAAACGAAAATTATGAATATGTCAAGGAGCTACTAGTGTACTAAACAAAAAACAATATTGTGATTGATATCGAAAGAACATTCAAAATCAAAGTTTTTTTTTCGTGTGTGGGAGAGATTGAAGAACAATTTACACTACAACCATGCCGATGTCAGCGCTTAGTCTTTTACAAGATGCACAAACTGCCAGAAGTAAGTTTATTTTTTATTTGTTTCTTGGGTCAGATCATTTTGATTTTCCTTGTGAATTTTAAACGCAATTCCAAACGGAGATTCAACCGTTTCGAACAAAATATTTTTTTTGAATTTAAAACTTTTATTCGTGTGAATTCTTCCGCGTTCGGTTTTATTTCGTTCAATTATTACTTAGGATATTACCTTGTTGTAGGCCAAAATTCAAAATAGCACAGGGGTTTTATCCGTTTATTAATTTGTTTTTTTTTTTTCAAAAAAAAAATCCTCAATCATTTTTCATGGGTCATTTTCTTTGTTTAGATCAGATTCGAGTTTCATTTCTTTCAAAAGTGTTTTCTTTCAAATTTTTTAATCTTCAAAAATTTTCAATTTTTTTCTTCAAAATTTCAATTTGTTCAAAAAAAAAATTCGATTAAATTTCAATTGACCGCAATATTCCTCAAAATTACCTTTTAGAAATAAAAGAAAGCAATATTTCGGCATTTAAGCTAACAAGTGGATTTCCCTCTATTCATTTCCAGATGCAGCTCTTGCACTTCAAGCGAATTTTTTGGCAAATATAAAGCATGAGCACGATGAATTGAATAAATCGTCGCCATTATCGCCATCGTCATTGAGTGGGTTACCAAATGGTGGTTTACCCGAACACAGTTTATACCCAGGTCTTAACATCGGTATGTTAACGCCACAAATGTTTGCTGCAAATCAAACGGCAGCCGCATTACTATCAAAACTCTATCCGCATCCATCGTTTTTCCCCTGGCAATTGCCATTGAGCGCAGCTGCATCGCCACCAATTTCGCCCATTTCACCGGCGCTCAGTGTGAAAAGCGTAAAAAAGTTAAACAACAACAATAACATTGTATCAACGACAACCAACGAAGAGCTAACCAATAACAATTACAAATTAAATATTCACGATGATTTAAAACATGATGAACATTTACTGACCAAAGCCAGTTCAATTGCCAAAAAATCAAAGACCCGCAAAACCGTCTCCAGCTACAAACAGACTCGTATTTTGTATCAGCCATACACAAATTTGGAGACATCACCAATGGGCATTAGTCCGGGTCCAATAAGCCCACCCACCTCCGGTTCATCGCCACAATCGATTGGTTCGATGGAACATCAATCGCCGTCATCATCATCGATTCGTACCACACCAAACAAAGAGCCAACCCGTGATAAATCGTTCACATGCCAAACATGCAACCGATCATTTGGCTACAAACACGTTCTGCAAAACCATGAGCGCACCCATACCGGCGAAAAGCCATACGCGTGTGCAATTTGTAGCAAACGTTTTACACGTGATCATCATTTGAAAACACATATGCGATTGCACACGGGCGAAAAACCATACCATTGCGACCATTGCGATCGTCAATTTGTTCAAGTGGCCAATTTGCGACGCCATTTACGCGTTCACACCGGCGAAAAACCGTACGCCTGCGACAAATGCAAATCGAAATTCTCCGATTCGAATCAATTGAAAGCGCATATTGTCATTCATCAAGATGAGAAACCATTCCGATGCGACACATGCAACGTGACCTTCCGTCGCAGTCATCATTTAATGAATCATAAATGCACCAGCAGCCCACTTACACCAGCCATGTCACCGGTCATGTCCATTGACAACAAATCCATTACATCACGGTCCGATGCAAGCCAAGATGATCTGCTCGATTTGAGCACACAAAGTGTAGTCATGTTTAAGCATTTGCATCTCAGCCATCCGGGCTATCCAGGGATTCGTAAACTGCCAACACCAATCGAACACGAATTGTACGAACAATGCGCCAAAGAGAGTGACTACAGTGACGCACAAGATATGCCATTAGATTTAAGTATCGACAGTAATTCGGACAATGGCGATAAACGTGAACACAAACCATATTCGATAGCCGTTTGATCCATTCAAAGCATCCTCGATATGCCCACACACTGTTCGAATTACTTAAATCCTCATTAAGTTTTCAGAAAACTAACAGCAACTCAAATGGTGTTGAACATTCGACGTAAGTACACAACTGTTGTTCAGATTTAAACTCAAGTCATTTTTGGCTAGAAATATTTCGGTGTAGAATTTGATTTGCGCAGAGATTCGAAGAGAGAAATCGTTTTTTTTTCTATTTGTTTGTTTAATTTTGCTTATTTTTTTCGTCGATCTTCGATTCACTCTCTTTTGGAGATTGGGATTTCCAACAATTTTGAAATTCGTTTTTCATCAATGTTTGATATTTCATTTTGTAATTGAAAACATTTGAAAAATTTAAATCGAAAAAAAGGAGAAAAATCCATTCGAGGTGATGAATTGTCGAATCTCACAGAACTGATCACTGACCGTGCAATTTTCAAATGTTAAAACTGACTGTAGATTTTTTTTTCGTTCTATTTTTCTCTCTCAATGTTTCGTTTTCTGTTTAACGTTGTCGATCGCTTGCGTGCGCGTACCGTTTTGTTAAAAAAAAATTCTGCACCGTTCAGTTGGGAGTTTTTGTTTTTTTTTTGTTCAACGAAACAACGCGTTATTATTTGATTTTGTTTCGTTCGTTTTTTTTTGTGCATAAAGAAAAATGAGCAAAAAAAAATCCGTTCAGTTGTTATAATTTGCGGCTAAGATGGGCGAGCGCAAGGATCGAAGTAAAGAATTATGAAGATGTTTAGTTCGTAAGCAAGCCATAATATAACCAAAAAAAAAGAAAGATGAACAAGTCGAAATTATTAAATGAATTGTACAATCTAGTGAAGAATGAAAGAAGATGAAAAAAAAAGTCTAACAAAAAAAAAACAAACTCCACGTCTTAGTGTTTAAAAACTCTGGTCGACTGATAAAGTACGGCCAATTCTGTCTAATCATTAGTAAATTTGTAAGTGAAATTTAGTCTCCTTCGTTATATTAAAGAAAGAAAAACTAATAAATCAATTTTCGTACGAAATCCGTTCAACTTATTGAAGAAAACACAAACCTTCACAAACGAACATCAACCATTGTATATGGTCCAGTGGGGAGCACTTCATTTGCCAAAAACAAAAAAACAAAACGGATTGTCATTTTTTGATACAAAAAATTGTAAATCAAGCCTAAATGTAAGCAACACAAATCAATTCTGTTATATGGAAATGGGTGAAATATATTAAAACAAAAGAAACAACAACAAAAACACATACGCAAATTCACACACCAGAGAGAATCTATATCAGGGATAAATATAGCTCGAACAATTTATACACAATACAAATGAATATATATATATATACAACAACAAAAAAGAGAGGAAAACTAATGTCTTTATTGAGATAAAAAGAAGAAGAGAAAAAACAGCAACAACAAAATAGATGATGATTTATATTGTAAGACGTTTTCTTTTTCACTTTTCATCTCTCGTCCCCCCAATCGTAATCTACATTTAATATTCATATTTACATGTAAAAGTTCTATTTTTAAATGAAAGAAAAGCCAAAAAAAAATATGAAAAATCAAATGAGTTACCGAATTACCAAATAAAAAAAAAACAACAGTAACTAATTCAGAGAAAAAAAAACACTTGATGAATTCTGATATGAAAAAGAAGAAGAAGAAGAAGTTTGATGATGATGACAAAAGAGAAAAATTACGAAATATTTAATTATTACCATTTAATTACCTTTGCCATAATCGAATTATATTGTATATGTGTAAATGTCATTTAAAGCATACGAGACAGAAAAAAATGGTGTTTTTCATTATTTTATTTATTCCACATAATGTGTAACAGTGAAGAAATAGGAGACAAAGAACAATTATTGTACATGATATCAGCATTGAATCATAGAGTAATAACAACAACCTCAAAAAAAAGAAATGAAGAATCCTTTGCCAAAACCAAAACCCTACATTTAATTTGACAAAGAAAAATTTATTCAATAAAATTTCAATTTCATTTTAAACAAAAAACAAAATCAGTCATGCGATGTTTTCCTTTCTTTTACAGCCTTTTTTCAGCCTCTTCGATCTGTTTTCTTCTTTTACAGCAATCGATTGGTTTGTAGCATTTTACTGGTTTGTAAATGGTTTGAAGAAGAGAAGTTTTATCGCTAATGAGTTGCTAAGCTTTGCAAGAATGTCGGTCATTTTCGGCTGATATTCGTTTTTCATTCAATCAAAATTTAATTTTCCCTTTCATTTTCGGTCGTTTTAACTCAAGCTCATTAATTATGCCTTGCTACTACTCAACTCTCTAGATTTGTCTTCAAGCTGGACTCTTTGAAGTTCAATGGCTATCTCGGTTGTGCTGCGCGTATGCAATCCATTAGAGTAAAGCATCAAGTGCGATTTTCTGCGAATAATCTAAAGTCTTTGAATGTAACTTCCGGTTAGGAATACGTATTGAACATCGCCGACGGCCATTCTCCAGTTCTTACCAATTTAGATCTATTAAGAGGAATTCCAAGCTCTTTTCTCTCTCTCTCTCACTCTCTTCTTCTTTTTTCCATTTTCGCCCTCTCTTACACTCTATCACTGTCTTTATTTCGCTTTCTCTCTTGATTTTCTTTACTATCTCACGTGCTCGCGAGATCTTTTTCTATACAGATTTCATTTCCATAATGTTTTGTCTTACTCTCTCACTCTCTTCCTTTTTTATTCTCTCGCTCTCTCTCTCTCTCTCTCTCTCTTGCTGACTCTCCCTCAATCTATCCACACGAGAAATGTGTCTTTCATTCGAAAATCACATCCATTCCGAAACTACATGCAAAGTTCGATCGATTAATGACATCTTTTTTCTGGTCAAAGTTGTGTAGAAACTTTCAACTTTTTGATTACCGGTTATTATCGACTTAATTATGAACCAGAGCCAGTACACTGCCGAAATTCTTGTGCTCATCCGTTGTTTGTTCCGAGAATTTTCGGTTCGATAAAAGTTATCTCTATGAAATCATCATGAACATCGGTGAGTTTGCGTTTTGAAGGGGAAAATTTCCAAAAATTGATGACACCAACCGAACGAGAAAACCAGTCTCAATGTAATCAGTTGTCAATGTTTGAGAGTAAATATAGACCACGATAATGTATAGGCAACCGGATTTTTAAGCAGCAAGTTCAATATTTTGATTACCATTTGTTGTGTACTCATATCAATTTATAGTTCAAATGTAGTTTTGCGTCTCTTTCTCTCTCTCACTCGCACTCTTTGTATGCCTTTGTCTTTGCCTTTTTTTCAAAAAGCCCAAATCATTATGGTTTGCGGCGATGATAATCGGTCATACGTGCACGAACTACCGCAAAACCGGTTAAACTGTAAAACCAACTCCATTTAGTGCGTTTTATTTCCACCAGCAGCGACGAATTGCATTTCGCTGATAAAAATATTATTCTCGCTTTTGGCCAAGCAATCAAGTTATATTCAATTAATAGAAATCGACGAAAACGAAGAAAGAAAAAATTCCGGGAAAAAAAGGTCCATCGTTCGATTCGGACAGGATTACTATCAATTCAACCAAAAACAAAGGCATTTTATTTACATTTTAACCAAACCGATGTGGCGGCCACCACCACCGCCATCACAATCGATTCCAAATGAAATCGACAAGTTTTTATCACATAGAAAAACATTTGCGATAGGTCAACAATATGACGTGCATCGACGAACAAACGAAACGATTATTATAAAAATTCAATTAAAATGTCGAAACGAACCGACGACACACACACACACACACACACACACACATCATTTTTGTGCGTTAGATTAGAAGCATGAGTTCTCGTTACTTCGGCACACAGTTGTACACGAGACAACACACAAAATTCGCCCAAAGTCCATTCTATTCCGCTCATTTTTACTCGGGCCCAGTAGAAATGCGTTCAGCAACACGAAGAAAAAGGTTCGTTCAAACAACAAATGCAGCCCATAAAATGTTTAGAGTAATGTGTCTTAATCGTGTTAAAAATGCATTATTCCAACATCAAACCGAAATTCATTCAGATGATAAGGAGCAAACCGAACATGGCTCTGCTGTGTGTGTACCGCACCAACGCAAGATGCAACCGAATATGCAAAGAAACGAAATGAGAGTAAAGAAAAAGTAGTGCAAAAACTAATTTTATTTGCATATCATCATAAAAACTGTATATTCTGCTCTGTTTGCGAATCGTTCCGAAAGATTTTATAGGGTTCATGTTGACAATGGGACCATTCGAAACGAAGGCACACACAAAACGAGTTTAAATAAACATTTTGTGAGAGTCATTCGCCAAAAAAAGAGAGAAAGAAACGAGGTACTAAATAAACAGAAACTTTAGACTTGACAGGTAAGAATGTGTTGACCATTGCAGGCGATGTTCCTTTTCAAACCGGGAAAAATACACACATTCGTTGCGAAAATGTTGTGTGTTGTTGTTTTTTCATCTTCTCATTGCCGGGCAATGAAAGCAGAAGAAAAAAAAATTGTTTCGATTTATTGCAACGAATGTGCATAATTCCTTAAATAAACAACGGCGATTCACAAATGATTGCTCTATTAAATGGACTGGAATGAGGTAAAAAGAACAGGTAAAATTGACGGCAATGTACACCATTGACGGCAGTGGTAAAATTTGTCAACTGGACAATGTAAATCTCGTCAGAAAGTGTGCATCAGCATATAAAGAAACAAAATCTTGGGCAAAGAGCACGAAACCCCGATTTTTTTTTCTTTTCGTCCAAATGAAATGACTAGATTTTTTGTTCGGCCATTCAAAAATCACATTGCAAAGAAGTTATGATGCTTCAATTACTCGAAGTTGAAACTCATTTCCATGTGCTATTGTCTTTTGGCTTGCGACAAGAACTGGGCGAAAGAAAGAGAGAGAGAGAAAGAGAGAGAAAGGAAGAAAGAGAGAGAGAGAGAGAGAGAGAGAGAGAGAAAGAGAGAGAGAAAGAGAAATAGAGAGAGAGTATATACCTACGTGTGTCGAGGATAAATAGAAGTGGACATTAGCAATCCAATTATAAACATGACTTTCCACACTTTGTTCGTTCGGTAATTTTATACTAATTAGTTTTGTGTAGTTGAGTTGCTCGGGTGTTGGTTCATTGTGTCCGTTTGGGCTCTGTGAAATTGAATATGCAATATGCATACGTATTTTGGGCTGAGCCATACACACACTCCCGTCTTTCTCAGTGTCACATTCATAAATAAATTCGGAGAGCACAAATTTAAACCCTTTCATTACAAGCGCTACTCATTGTTTCAAACAACGACCGCACTGATCTTTATAGACCAGTGTAGTCTAATCCTTTCATGAATGAAATCTACACACACACACCGAACGGTAGACGTGAATGGATTTTTATTTTCTTGAATGTGGTTTTATTTCAAGCGCACTTGTTCATTGAGTATTGTTGCTGACAGTTGCCTTAGATCGAAATAGAACAACCAGACTGTTTTCATCTTGAGTCTTGCGAATGAAAATATAATTTCCGGCGTTGCCACCGTTTTTGAAAGAATGTTTGATCTTTTAACAGAGAAAGATGGATTTAAATCTACCTTAGGTGGACAAACACATTTGGCGGATGCACCTTTTTCAACATTGCAATGGCCGATATGAATCATGGATGGAGATATGAATTAGACCAATGTGAAATAAAACCAACGAAACAAACACAACGAGACAAGCATCACCAACCGACAACAGCATATGTATAGAGTATACAGTAACATGGGAGAAAATTAACAAATTTAGAGAAAAACAAAGAGAAACCAGAATTCTCGTTGCGCTCAAAATATTGCGTCAGAGCGACAACGGTTTTCCCAAACCCAATGAACGCATGTCGACTGTCCGTTAATAAAAAAAAAATCAGCGCGCGAAAAATGCTCAGGTGCAACCACAATCAAAATATGAATGTCAAATGTTTACACCGACAAATGTTTTGTTTGCTCATCTTGAGATTT